TTCCGTACGCGGGGCCGCTGGAGCGGCTGCGGGCGCCGCACGCCTACAGGTAGCGCGGCCGCGAGCGGGCCCCGGGGCGGCCAGCGCCGCCCGCCCCGCTCACGGCGCCGCCTGTGCCCGCAGCGCGGAGGAGCTCGCGGCGCTGCTGCGGCTGGCCAGGGCGCAGGGCCTCGAGGCGGTGCCGCTCGTGCAGAGCTTCGGGCACATGGAGGTGAGCGCGGGCCGGGGCCGGGGCCGGGCGGCGCCTCCGTTCCCGCGGTGCCCGCCGCGCCACGCGCCGCTCTGCCCTGCAGTTCGTGCTCAAGCACCGGGAGTTCTCGCACCTGCGCGAGGTCAGCGCCTTCCCCAACGCCCTCAACCCGCACCGCGAGGAGTCCCGCCGCCTGCTCGCCGCCATGATCGACCAGGTCGTGGCGCTGCACGAGGAGCTGCGCTGGCTCCACATCGGCTGCGACGAGGTGGGGCCGGCCCGGGGCCCCCCTGTGTCCCCGGCGGGGTCCCCCTGTGTCCCCGGCGGGGTCCCCCTGTGTCCCGGGGCCCCCCTGTGTCCCCAGCGGGGCCCCCCTGTGTCCCCAGCGGGGCCCCCCTGTGTCCCGGGGCCCCCCTGTGTCCCCAGCGGGACCCGGGACGGCTTCGCGTCGAGTTTCGGGACAGGAAACATCAGCCAGGGTGGAAAATCTTTCCAAGGCTTCACGATTCCGTCACTGTAGGATGTCACTCTTCCTGATCTGTTCTTAGCCCCGGGTATTAGAGGCAGTTGCTTAAAGCCAGCTCGACATTTGATTTTATGTCAAATGAGGGTTTAAACTGAGATATTAGTTGGAAACATTCTGCAAGAGTCACGTGAGTTTTCATATAGGACGTTGGATTATTGCTCTGGATAAGTTTTAAAAGCAAACTCCTAAAGTGGGGAGTGTGTTTTGTCCGTTATAGTAGTCTCAAGTTTTCTCTTTTCTCAGGGTTTCCTAAAACTCTTTCTAAAGCTTCCTGGATTTCCTAAAGCTCTGGGATGTGGAGCCAGAAATGCCTTGTGATTACCCTGGCAGTATTGGCATTAGTTCAGCGCTAATGATGCTAATGACGTGGTTAGATAGGGACCTGCCAGCTTTTATAAAGCAAGATATTGCCTACATAGAATAAACATGTTTTAGGTAAAATGTGTTCTGAAACAACAGAGTTTAAATGCAGATCCGTCTTAGCAGGCCCAAATCCTCTATCTGCCTAGGAATAAATACTTCTGCTCAGTTCTGCTTCCTAAGTTAGGTGTAGATTCATGTACAAAATTGCTGCCATGATCCAGAACCCTTAATTGATGTAAATCAGGACCTCTTGAATGCCAGAATTCTGGAACCAAGTAAAAATTGGTGAGAGCAGCTCCCTCAAGGGCAAACTTTCCAAAGATGCATCCAGGATGCCTCAATTTTTCTTTAGATATTTTTGTTCCTGTAGGAACATTTCCTTACTTGACATGGTCAGTCTCCCACCACTGACAGAGATGTTTGCAAGGCATCAACCTCAAGAGATGGTGTGAGATAATTCACACAGTAGGTCACATCTGTGCGATAGCTATTCCGTTATAATCGTATGATTCCTTGCCCCGTGTCAGACTTGGTCTCCCTCATTCCTGGATGAGAAGTCAGGATTATTGGTATTTTAGGTCTACTACCTTGGTGAAGGAGAGGAGTCAAAGCAGTGGCTGCAGCACCAGGAGAACACGCCAGAGAAGCTGTGCTTGTCGCACATAAAAGCAGTCGCAAGTTATGTGGCCTCGTCCTACCCGACTGTGACGCCTATTGTGTGGGATGACATGCTGAGAGGAATTAGTGAGGAAGTGCTGTCAGGTACGTGGGCAGTGATGGGGTGACTGGTGGCAGTTTTTTAGCATTCAGAAAAGTTTACACAAACATTTGAAAAAGACTTGTTGGCAGCTGAAAATAATGAAGAAACAACTATAGGACAGGTGAGATACGGCCCATCAGACTAGAAAGCAGAGACACACGTTTAGTGCTTGTGTGTATAAATTGTAGTTCTGAACTCCTTGGAGTCAAAGGACTGAGAAAGGGATGGGCTTGAGATGAAGGGGTTTTCTGATGAATTGACCCTGTTGGTCCCCATGGTTGGGGTTTCAAGGTGTAAAAGGACTTGGCCCCAGCACATGAACTGAATCTTCATCTTGGCCAGGCTGAAAGGACACATGAAACTTCAAATGGAGAAGAGGTCTAGTGACAAACCATATGTAGTTTTATTTATGTGTTACTGCACCGTTAATATTTATATAGTTCTTACCTTTAAATGGCCTTTTTACCCGACTTAATACTGTTCCTTCCAGAGTCTGGGGTCCCACAGCTTGTGGAGCCAATGATATGGGACTATGCAGCAGACCTAGACGTGGAGAGCAAAGGTTTGTAGTTCTCAGCAAAGCCTTGATACCAATAGAACAAAATAGCCAAAACAAAGTAGTAGTATTAAAACATACTGTAGCTTGACATCTTGTCTAACTGCATGTAGTTTTACTATGTGAATGTTTTTGTGTTTATATATGAGGAATTTTTATTGTATGCTGCTCATTTTTGGGGAAGAAGAGGGTTACAGAATTGCTGAAGGGAGAACAAGAGGTTTTCAGAAGCACTGTGGGGTTGGTTTTTTTTTTTTTGTTTGTTTTTTTTTTGTTTTTTTTGTTTGGGTTATAAATTTTTTTTTCTCCTTATCTCACGTTAAAATCGGTACTGGAATCAGTACCACTGGGCAGGAAGGTCTGCACTGAACAATTCTTAACAATTCTTCAAAAGAAGCTTCAATGCTTCATACATCTACAAAATTCAAAACTAAAAACTCCCAATCAAAGATGGATCAGCCATCCAATGTATGCAAATATTTACTTGTTGAAACATGTCAGATGTTGCGTGTTCTCATTACACACCCACTTCTCGTAGCATTGCAACAATTTAATCATTCAAGGGAAATAGAATGTCATACCAAGGCATGTGAAATCAGGAAGTCAGTAAAAACACTGAAAGAGGCTTCCAAGGAGGATGTCAACTCTCTGTCCTTGGAGATGCTCCAATTCAGCAAGGCCCAGTGCACCCTGCCGTAATTGGACCTGCTCTCACTAGATGACCTGTGGAGCTTATCTCCAACCTTTGTGGTTCCATGGTTAACTAAGTCTAATCACTCTCTACTTCCTGGAGAAGAAAAAGAACTAGATATATTTTACAGTAGAGGAGAAAGTGGTAGACAGACTCAGTCCAGAGGTATTTTCCAAGAAATAAACCCTTCAAGTCTAATTATGTGAGACAGCAAATAAAGATACAACTCCCTTTGAAATACTTGAAGAGAGTCTAAGTTCTATAGAGAAGTGAGGGTTACCTGTCTCTCTTAAAGCAAATAATACGTATGACATAGGTGTAATATCAGTAAAAATGAGCCAGCTGCTCCCATCCTAAGAAGCCTCATGGCTCCCTATCCAACAGAAGAGTTCCAAGCTCAGAATTCCTTTACCTGGAGCATTACAGTCTAGGCTGAAAATGCAGAAAGAATAAATGTGCTGTAAACTTTCTTTTGTGTCTTATTTCAGTGCTTCTCATAGAGAAGTATCGTAGATGTGGCTTCTCCAAGGTGTGGTTTGCCAGTGCCTTCAAAGGAGCTACAGGAGTGAATCAGTCTCTGACTTTTATAGGACATCATTTAAAAAACCATCTTCAGTGGCTGAAGGTGGTAAGTAACACCCCTGCTGACGTGATCCAAGGTATTGCACTGACTGGCTGGCAAAGGTAAGAAACTTTTTTTTTCCTTTTTTTAATGTATATTTCCAAGAATTGCATGAAAGCAATCTTATGTTCAAAAAACAACAAAAAAATAACCCCTCCAAAACAGGTGCTAGGAAGCAGGAAATCCTCATGAGAACTTTTGCAATCCTGCAGTCGCTATTGGTGGAGTATAAATGGAGTATAAATTCCTGAATTCCATTCAACCCCTGCTGCAGCATTAATCAGCAGGCTCCAACAATAGTGAAACGGCTTTGAAGACTTGACTGCACTTTGTGCCACCATGGACTACTTTTAGATGCTGCTACTACTTTAATCCACAAGAGTTGTGTGTAGGGAGAAGTGTATCAAAGTAAGAATGGAATAAAAGGTTTTCACACATCAGTCAAGTAGTCTGAAGAAGACCGAAGACCTGGATTCCCATTTCTCACTGCAGTTTAGCTCGAGTTGGTCATTTTTTGCTATTTGTTGTCATTAGAACAGGAATGTTGAGTTTCAAGAAGGCAGTTTCTCTCTTCTAAGAGAGAAACTTCTCTCTTCTAAGAGAGAAACTGATGTTTCTAAAACGCTCTGATTTAGTGATTGAAGTATTAATGCTTCCTAGTGTGCTAAGGTGTTTTAATGGCAAAATGTCTAATTCATTAATGCTTTCCTGTTTAGGTACGATCACTTCTCTGTTTTGTGTGAGCTCTTCCCTGTGGGCATTCCATCATTGGCTGTTTGCCTGCAGGCACTAAAGAACGGTACCTATGGACAGTTTTATTCTCTCTAAGCTAAAGCCTTGGCAAAAGAATGACGTGGCCTTGCCCCAAGGTCAGCACAGGCTTGTTGTGAAATTGTTCAACTGATCGTGGCCTGAATTGCAAACAATAAATTGTGCGCCTGGCGTGACGCAGATGGTGGCAGCTGCCGAATTTGCAGTAGGGCAGGGGTAAAGCCCTGCAGCCTGTGTATTTAAAAATAGCCCTATTATATACGTTGTTATAATGTCTTAACCCACCGTTGGTACAATCTGCCCTGTACTTGGGAAGCTGACTTGGCACATTGACAGTACATAACTGAGACTGGTTATAATTGGACCCTGCTTACTTGGAGAAGTTGTCATTTTAACTCAGTTTCTAAAATCTGATAGCGGAGGCAAATATACTATCTGGTAAATGCTTCCAGTAGTGTGTGTGTATAGATAGATAGACACAGAATTTCTTTTCAAAAAAAGATTTATTTTTCAACAATACACAAAACCCTAAGTACTCAGAACAGAAAGCTACTATCTAGACAGTGCTTTAGCTAGCCCAAGTAATCTCTGAATGATGCTTAAGATGCCATCCCCAACTAAGCCCTATGTCCTTCCCCCACCATTCCCCATCCGAGCATTCCTCCCCATACAATCCCCACCAATTCCATTGTCTGTTTCCATTTTTACTTTCTAAAAATCTTCATCCAGGGAGAAGAACTAGGCCAATACTGAGTACTCTAAGCAAAATGCACATAAAGAGTATTTTTTTTTGCATTAGGCTCCTTCTATATCCTCCCACTGTCTTCTGCCCAGGTGGTTATTCCGAAAAGGTTAAAGAAAATGTGGAAAAGCTCCTGGGAATGTCTAATCTGGAAGTTGATACTTTCATGAGGTAAAATGCCAGCTATTCAAATGCTTTTTATTATGTGCTACGTTCAACAACTAATGGATTTTGTTTGGGCAGCACAAGTTCGGGGACCTTTCCGGGGAGCAACATCCTCGCACTTGTGACACAAATTAGTTTCTACCTCAGATCATCAGTGGATGAACTTCTCGAAAGGAACAGGTAATAAGCTTTATGTTGATTCTCTTGCTGTTTACCAGAGTGCGGGAGTTATATTTTCCAGAAATGAGGATATACATTCAAATAAATCCAGCAAAGTGCTTAGTCACTGAACCATGAAGCTCCCCATTTCAAGTATGACATCCCTAAATACTGACGTCTCAGCAGAACTTAGTATTTAGGTGTAAATTCAGCATATTATTTAAGCAAAATTCCTAAACTCCATGTGCTATCTTATTTCAAGAATTAAGTCCATTGGTGAACTAAGTCTTACTGTTACTGTGAGCAAAAATGCAAGTTTACTTATTCCTTAAGAATTACTTGTATCGGTGAAGTCGAGCTTTATCACCTTCCTGCTGTTCCAAAAATGTTCATACTGACGTGACATCTGTTTCCAGGTATGTCACAGGCTGGTTCAGTCCTTACCACCGAAAGAGGAAAATTGTTCATCCTATCATAATGCACCACTTTCAGCCAGATGCAATAAGGTACTGCCACTTATTTTGCATTATGGGGGAAATAAAGTTTATCATAAGTTAGGTATTCAAGTACACACAGTTTTGAGTTTTTGCCTCTTTACAGAGTTAATATTTCAGCAGCTCCACTAGGAAAAAAATATGAAGTTATACAGTTTAGACGAACATTATGTTCAATCTTTGTTGTACACTCTTTATCTGAATTCCATTGAACAAATTCATAGAATACAAGTACAAAATTGCTGTATGGAAAGCTTTCCCCTGCATGTAGTTACTCCTATATAGAAAGTTATTAGCCTCAGTGTAAGAAGACACTCTGGGCTAAGTTCTAAGCAGGACTTATAATAATGCTCAGATCCCTTTCTCCTACTCCTAGTCGCTACATGTGCTCTTCAAAACTTGTCCTAGAGATAATGGTGATTAATGCGAAGTGGCTAGTCTATGTTCTGCTGCACAGACCCTGCAGATAAATTAGGATTTAATTTAAAATTCCTAGCAAGACCCACAGCAAGTTTCCATTGACCTTTAAAGAAGAAGTATATAGTATTTTGGATTCGTATTTTTGCACTTCAAAACCACATTTAAAAAAGTGGTAAGATTAATGATACCCAGAAACACAACAGTAGTCCAAAGCATCAACTTTCTGACAGCAGCAGAGGGCTGAGTCCTTTAAGAGAGAATAATAGAGGCATCTTTTCCTACAAAGCCGTTTTGAAGGAGTGTCCTCCCTTCCAAGAAGTGCCCCATAGCTGGTGTTTGCAGTTCCTGGCCAGCCCGCTCGGTGCCTCCTGCGCTGGGGCACCCTCTGCTCATTTCTTCCTTCTGATTTTTGCTCAGTCTTCTATCCAAGTGGAACGCTGTGGTGCAGGATCTCCAAGCAGCCATGGAGCAAGTTTTCCACAAGTGCACTATAGATGAGTGGATGGAGGAAAATGTCCACCCCAGCCTACAAAAGCTACAACAACTGGTAGATGATTTAGATGAGGCAATAAAAGCTCAAGAGTAGGAGTGTTCTAACTGCAGCCTGTCTTACTCTGTTGGGATCTGAGCTAGTGGGAATCTGCAGCTAATCCATATTTGTCATTTGAAGAATTTAAGCAACAACTGTCATTAAATGAAGATGATCTGAAAGCAGAAGAGAATGTTAACGTAATAGGCTTCAAATCCAATTTTTACTTCCTCTAACACTGAGTCTTAAGTCACCTGCCCTGTAAATAATCCAGATTGCTCCCCTATGTAATAGCAATACCAACAGTTGATACCAATAGTTAAGATAACTTTAAGGAAAAACTGCCTTCACACACTGCTTATATTATTTTACTAAACTTAAGCCAAGCATAGTTTCACGCCCACAGAAAAGCACCCTCCAACAGACTTAAGGCTGACTTAGCTATGCAAAATCTGACGGGAGCTGCAGCTTCTTCCATCTTTGAAGCAAATCTAAAGTCTACTGAATTTCAAGGAAAAAAAAATGCTAAGTTTCATTCTGTTTTCATGTTGAACACTTAATGATCTATAGCAATACCATTCAGACAATCACTGCAAGGGTAAGTAAGTCTTGTCTGTTTTATTTCTTGCTTTCCTGAAAGTCTATTTAAGAAGTATTCCTAGGGACACTTTTTAAAATAATCTCTTTTAACATGTTTTTTCAGTACTACTCAAAGTACAAGAAGTACAGAATAAGACCAATCTTTAACTGCTGTTATATGAAAAAAGTTAACTCCCTGTGCAGATTTGTAATTTAAAAAAATTGATTACTGTGTCTATTTTCAAGTCACATACCTTGGGAGTAAATAGTTCACACAACTTGAAATAAGCAAGTTCTCAGTTTACTTTACCATAATAAATCCTTTGTTATTCAAAATACAGTACCTTTTTGAAACGTGTCCTTATTTTGCATGTGGCTTATCAGCTTAAAGTAGGAAAAAATGCTTTAAGGATATTTACTATAAAAAAATATATATAAAGATTGCTAAAATTCTACTTGTGATAAAAATAGAAAAGTAATTTCTAAACATTTTTCAGAAGTATTTTTCTTCTGAGCAGTCCACTACAGTGTCAGAACTAGCGCTCATCATTCAGTATACAGGTCAGCTTGAGTTTCGGCATCTCTGTAGCTTCATAACTACAGCATAAAAGTCCAATCTCAGCTATAGGGTTTAAATACTTTGGTTTACCTTGAGATTTATACAGTTGATGCTAGTTACTGAAACATTTCATTTTGGGAAGCAACAGAACCTTGTATTATGGCTTAGATTGTGCAACTTTCTCCTCTTATACAATATTCAGCCTAACCTTTTTTCAGTATGAGAACTAAAACCATAATTGCATCCAACTGCATACACGTAGGTAACTTCAAACATGCACAGAAGTTTAAGAAGTTGATTGAACGTTGCCAAATGATACTCATGATACACTTGTAAAGACCATGATGGAAGATGTGTGGGGAGGCAGGGATGGATTTATTTTTAAGGTCGGTTTTAAAGGTTTTCAAGTCATATTCATATTTCAAGTCATATAAAAAACTACAGCTGTCCAGACTCAGGTTACTAGATAGCCCAAGATATAAATAACTAAGCAAAATTTTGCTAAAAATACCTAATTTCTTAGCCAAAACTAGTCTTTTACAAGCCACTCTACATCAGGTGCCCCAGAGGCTACATTTCCTGGGCATTTTAATATGCTAGGACTAACAGAAGTGGGAAAAGAGTCACTGCTCAAAAAATACCTTCAGCAAAACAATAAAAAGTGACAAGAAAAAATAAGCTGAAAGATGCTGAACAGAAAGAGGTAAGAACAGAATATAAGTGCTCTTCTAAACACAGATCCTTCAGCCTGCACCAGATCATGGACTAGCCTGCACACATGGCCGCTGCCAAGGGGGAACTGTGACCTGCAAGTTCATTTTTCACACACAAGGTTACTGTAAAACACTAGAATGTGGATACAGCTTCCCACTACAGGAGATAACAGCAGGTTTTGAAGACAGGAAGCTCAAAGCCTGCATGAGGAGAAACCACCCAGTTGTGATGCACCTGCGTGCACAGCATCCCAGTGCATCCCAGTGCCCAGTTGCACCGAGTTCCTCCCCACCCTCTGGGTCGCTATCAGCGCACGTGGAGGTCCCAGGAGAGCGGTGCTTCCCGCTGCAGAGCGGGACCAGGATCACTCCAGAGCTCCCTGGGGCCCCTTCGTGGGAGCTGCTCCACAGAGCTCCGCTTCTCTCTTGAACCGACTCTAATTTTTATGGCAACAGAGCCCCCAAGTGCGAAGTGGAAGCAGTACCAGAGAGCGCTGCACCAGCTCCTCTAACTGCAAGGCTGCTTCAAATTATTTTCGTACACAGTGCATTCCCACATGCAGCACTCACTACCCGTTACCAGCAGAAAATTTGCTATGTCTTGACAGGGTGAGAGGCACTGAGACAGGCACCTTTGGGGAGCTGATCCCATCCTTGAACATCAATTCACTTATTCTATAGAAAGCATTTCAGACTAGGTTGCATCTTACCACAGGTCACCTCACTTTCTCATGATTATGAATCTTATTTACATTTCTGTTTTAGTCTTTTTACGATGGCATTTCATATATCAGAAGTATGTACATTACTAACAGATCAAAAACATACAACTAGTTGGATGCACAAAAAAAACTCATCAGAAAGAGGGGAGGATGGAACAATTTAGGGTCAGGTCAAAAGAAAGGACTTATTTAATGGGAAAACCACAACAGTTTGTATCTTCCATGTGCTATTAGCTCATATGGAAATACAGAAGCAGACAGGTAGAGCCAAAACCCAGAGCAAGTTGTTTTATCTGTGTTTTATTGATTTATGGTCAAATCTTTGGTCTCAGAACATCTAAGTACCATGAATATCCATACTGTGTCCTTCCTCTACATATCCTTGCTACTAAGAAGAAAGCATCTGCTTGATATCCTGGATAAAGGAATGATAAAAGTTTTAGTTTAGTCTAGACAAAACATACTAACCGAGGTAGTTTTACTTAAAAAGTATTTGTCTTGGAAAAATTGTATTATTTTTAATTGTTTGTAAAACCATAGGGTGGAATGGAGGATGCTACACACATCCAGAGTAACGCCTGGGCACAAGTCTGACACTGGAACTATCCCAGCTATCTTAACAAATATGAAGTTGCTGTTTAGCACTTCAGTATCATCTAAAGCAGGAAATACTAAACACATTTAAGGCTGCCATGTTGTTGGACATGAATATTTTCCCTACCTAAAACCAACAGTTTTGCTTTTCCCCACCCCTCTTTCTAAGCAGACTGTTAACATGGCAAATGGTCAAGTGCAGAATAAGGCTGTTCCATTTCGGGGTAGCCCGTGCCCCGAAGCTGAGCAGAACAGGATTGAAATTGAACATTTCAATTCTGCTGCTCAGTGATGCAAAGGTTCATTTATCACTTACGGATCCTTGGAAGTCCGGGAGAAATAAAGACCACCCAATGGACTGACCAACCTGATAGTGAAATTTGCAGACAGTCACTTTCAAACTTTGATTTCCAAAGTCTCTAATGGCAAGTCAATAGTAAAGAATATCACAAAAGTGCCATTATTTTGCATCACCTTATATTAAATCACTTAAAACCAAGTTAGCCCTATATTCATTAATCTATATTATTTCAAAGAAAAAAAAAGAGCATTGCAAGTTACAAATTCAGCTCTGCTACATTTCATATACTGTACCTGCAGAAGTTTGCAATAAGTGAAAGTTTCTACGTGCATATCCACCTTATTGATGGGAAAGCAATAAGCAACATCAAACCAGTCAGAAATCAGTGCTGAGCAGTTTCTCCTCCAAGATGAGCCCAGCTCAGAGGGCAGCACTGTCCACATCCAGGTGCCAAGTCAAAGCAGCAAATAAAGCAGAGTTGACTTTGGACTCTACAAAGGCCACGTTTGGAGTGGAGGGGACGCGTGGAAGTTCGAGGCAGTTCAACACGAAGAGCAGCCTCCACACAGATTCTTCCTGATGTAAATACGTATGTAGAGAAAATGCACAAGATAAGGGATTTTTCTTCTGAAGACGAGCATATGTTTTCTATGTTTGAAGGCCTCTGCTTTCTTCAGTCGACAATGACTGTTAATAATTATCCACTGGTTCATCAGCATCACTGGCTTCCGTTTCACTGCTCTGAGAGAGATCGTGTTGGCTCTCTGCTCTGTCCAGCTCCAGAAAACTGGTGATGAGTTTGGCAATTGCTTCCACATCACTGTGGGAAGGAACAAACAATGTAAGAGTTGGCAGCCTCTTGCTGACAGGACAAGAACATGCAAACTATGCACCTTGTTTGAAGGGCCAAGGCACTTGGCAAAGGTTGGTCTAGCCAAACAATTACATTTGTATCAGAACAAGATGGAATCCTTTTCTAAGGCTCCATGTGCAAAGTTCTTTGTGTGACCTGCTGTTTTTATCATCAGTACTTAAAAAAAAATCTCCATTAACTGATAGCATTTGCAAAACTGAATGGAATTGGCCCTCTCTGCGTGGCACAGCTGAGTGGGTGAAGCCACCTAGGAACACGGTTCCTACAGCTCCAACCCCAACGCAGCCAGAGCTGCAATGGCTGGGAATTTCAGTGCAGAGAAATAAGCTCTGATCAGCTCTCCTGGCTGAAGACTCAAGTGACAGCAGTCCCTTCCCCCTACAGCTTGTCACAATCTTCCCTTCTGGAGCACATGCTCCCTTTAGAGCTGCTCACAGGAACACACCGCAGTACTTCAGGGAAAACCTCCTCGGACACATGGATATTCTATTAAAGCTCTTCAGTAGCAGATCTTTGGCTAACAGCTCCCTTCGTCTGCAGCCACTTAGTTTGCAGCCTGCTGGTGTGGAAGTTTCCATCAGGGAGGTGTTGAGCAAGAGCAGTCATCTGGTTCACCAGCGCATCTCTAGTGCCCCGGGCGGGCACCCTGCACGTTCTCAGCATATTGTCACTTCATGTTTTCACTTTTTTACGCAGACTATCTACAACTCAGACTAGTTTTAAAATCTGGCCTCTTAAAAATCTTTAAAATGCACCTCAAAGTCAGTAATATAAATAGCAAAAATAAGAACCATTGCAACTGATTTAGAGTAAATGCTGCTTTAACGGAGTCTTAGATCTCTAAATATCAGTCTCCTGATGAAGACTGGGTTAGGCAAAAACACAGTGCATGAGAGGCACTCATGAGAGATTAAAAAAATAACATGGATAACACAAGGAGTTTTATCAGTAAGAGGAGAAATGGAGCTGATTCTCCTAATAGTTCCCATTACTGACTCACATGTGATTGTTATCTCCTACCCTATGTATTACAACTAAAAAGCAGAAAGTCCCCACAGCACCTCCTGCAGCCCAGCACCGCACTCTGCGTCAGCGGGTGTGAAAATCCAGTGATGAATCGAAGCACAACCAGGTAGCCCTTCCCAAAGTAACGCACCGGCTCCTCTTCCACGTTCACATCTCGCACTTCGTGCAGCAGAGCCACAACTGGGAAGAGAGAGGAAGCAGGGAATTCAATCTTAGTGTTACGGGGAGTCCTCAGCACTGTCACTGCTAGTGCAGCCCGCCCGAGCAAACAGGTTCTGCTGCCTCACACAAACTGGGGACCAAGTTTGTATTTCCCACCTATTTTAATTAGTTTTAACTGTTTATCTGTACTAATAGGCAAGCGGATGTTTAGACTGGACAAGTATTGAAAATTTTCACTTCATATTGGAACATGTGTTGAGCTCCACATTCCCACATCAACTGTCTTCAAAACAAACCTTGAATGTCTCAGGAAGCCACGTGCTCAGCTCCAACGTACAAACACAGCACACAAACAAACAAACCCACTCTAGTGCTGGGTTGATTTAGACTGTCAAGCAGAGCAAAACTGCCGACACCGAAGAGGATCCTCCTGCATTTTGCAATGGAGCTCCTGAATCCCTGACCTCGAGCAACTCACGTCATACCGTGTTCAACTGTGCCCCTCCATCTGAAAGCTCAAGAGAAACGAGAGCACATTAAGCTGGGCCTACCAACTGTGCCATTTTAAATGGACATTAGCATTTAATGTGCTTTATTTGTGAACAGTCGACAGGGCTCATTTTTTAAACCTTACATTAAGCATTCTACTGATGCACTTTTTTTCTGAAGCACGAGAAAATGATATTATATCAATGCTTAAAACAGAACTAAAGCTAAAACTACCTTGGAGATGAACAAACCCGATGGATTAATAAAGAGCACAACACAGAAGGCAAAACAGCAACCTGAGACACACTTGGTGTAAATGGAACTGTAAATGTGCAAGTTGTGTAAGAATCCACTGTGGTACGTGTTTTAGAGATGGGCTTATTGCAAGCAGCTTGCAGTTCTGGGAATATTGGGGAATATACCCTCTTCTCCAGCATAAGGAAACCTTGACCCAGTTTCCCTGCTTTTGATTTCTGATGTAAAAGGTCATGAAAAAGAGCCCTGTGTAGCAAGGTGGACAATCCACTCTCGTACTTTTCAGGACTTGTTCAGTGTCAAAAACCAGAGTATACCTCTCCACAACAGCAACAACCAGGCCACGAAAAAGATAGTTTGGGTTTTCATTTCCCTCCTTCACCTAAGCTTTTCTAGAACTTGAGACAGCAACAACTGCACTGTGTTAAGGGGTAGGACTCATTCAGGACCTGAGCTTTTGGTTCAGGTTCCCTCACTGAGAGGGTCTCTGACAGGCTGGAGAAGGGGGCAGACAGGAATCTGGTGACGTTCAAAGGAAATGCAGGTGGGGAGGCTTCAACCAGGGGCTTCCAGCTGGGCTCACCAGCCAGAAAGCAGCTCTGCAGAAAGGGCCCCGGGGGCCAAGCTGAACACGAATCACTCAGCAGCCTGAACTGACCAGACACTTGGGCCATGAGAGGCAAATGATGCCCAAGCTGCTGCTTGGGAGGAGTGAAGTAGGTGAAAATGGATGTGAAATTGGAGTGCAGAGCTCCCAAACAGCTTAGCAAAGGGGCACATGAGCAAGCCTTTCTTCTGCCTCCCCAGCACACAGGGTTGCTATTGCATGCACTGCTTTCCCACCTTGTTCATGGCCTCCTCTTGAGAGGGTCAGTATTTTTTTGTAAAGACTGAATGTTTTTAGGCAGATGGTTCCCTTGTTCTTATCAAATATAGCTTCCTGTAAAAGTGAAAAAAAAAACTCAAGTCTTTTTTAAGCACCATCAATTGCATGCTTCAAAAGGCAAAAGAAAAAAAGTCAGTAACACATGACAATAACCTTGATAATACAAAACAATCAACTAATTTGATCAGAGACATTCTTCTCCTGTTACTACAGTGTGAAAGTTGTTGACTTCAACAGAGGCTTTACCATTTATTCCTTAGACACAAGTTAAAGTTTGTTTCATCCTTCATGCAATTAAAAAGGCCTGGAATGAGACCTGAACCCTAACCTTCCCCCAAGCAACCCCTGCGAGATGCCAGTTTTGTACTGCACGGGACTGGCTTACACGAGGTCTAAAAGAACCCGGGGGCAGACGGGAGAACAGGAGGTCTCAGGGTGGAGTCCTTACTGTAACCACCACTGAGGTCAACAAGACGAGAAGCCTGCACGGTTCCCGAGCTGAGCCTCTTACCTCCCACTGCTCCAGGTTCTGCACTGCCACAAAGAGGCACCCGGTCATGTAGAAGAGCTTCCAGGCCAAGCTGTCTGCAAAGGCAAGAGTTGAGTTTTGAGGGAGTTCTCTCTTTTTTGACATTCAAGCGGTTATTTTCAAAGGCTACACACACCCACTGAAGGCAACAACAGGAAAAAAAAGGTTTCTCTGATGCAACATTTTTGTCTTTTATTGTAATTCAAGCTATTTTCCTGTGTTTTTACGAGGAAAATACTTATGTTTCAGATTTCATATACACTGGGCTCCAAACCACACGCAATTATAAGCATGCTTATTGCTTGTGATATTAAAACACTGTTACACATCCTTGTTTTCTTCCCTAAAAAGCAGAGGCATCTTAAAAGGCACCTGCAAAACATTTCCTCAACCTGCCACCAACCACAAAAAGATTTGTGCTGCAGGGGACAAGGGTGAGAGACAATGAGACAATGGAGAGCAAGTCACCAAAACAAACACATTTCTAAAAAAAAAAAAAAAAAAAAAAAAAAAAAGCAGCATTTGGCCCCCTTGACAAACAAACATTGATACTTTACATCCTGGATATGTTTACATGGGACAGTCTCTCTTAACCAATAGTACAGGAGACTGGAGAGAGTAATTTGCTTACTCAGTCTTCTAGTAAAAACAGGGCAGAACAATGCTCAGCATTGAGACGTCTTTGCAACAACGTCCTCAAAAGCAACAACAAAACACTTGCTGATCCAGCCCTTGTCTCAAGTATCTTTTGCTGGGCTCTGCTCTTAAAATAAAAAGATATTGCTTAAAATGATAGCATAATCTCACATGATGCCAAGCTTTCGGATTTGAGGCACAGGAAAGCTCCAAGATGGTCTGCAGAACAACCCCATGCCCTGAGCTCCTCTGTCAGGATGGCTGTCAGTCGGTGCAAGCCCCTCACTTTGGGGAAGGGGGGACATTATCAGCCACCTGTTCTTCAGAGGTGTTTTCCTGAGTGATTTTTTGCCAGTTTAACATTTTCAGAGAAGCAGAGCAATTTCACCAAAGGCAAAGCAATTGCTTAATTACGGTGACAGCCCTAGGTCTTCCCAGGACAGCCATGAGGATCCGCTAACGACACTTATTAAAACACAGCGAAAGTGCAAAATGCCACAGGATGGAAGATCGACCCAAAAAATACTCTTGCAAATGGAAAGGGAAGCTGAGTAAGGACTGGGGAATTAAAGCTTGGTAAGTGTTATCCAGACCATAATTGTCACTGAATTCAAGTACTTGGGCCGCAGGGTGTGACAGGCACTTTTATACAGGTGATGTAATGGTCAGAAAGGAGTCAGCCCCACAAAGATACCCCAGCAAAAACCAAGCAATTCTTCAGAAAGTGATAGGCCATTACCTGCACTATAATAAGCAGCAGCCAAACCTATAGAGGCTATTCCTAGAATAAAAGAAGAAAAAATTAGCATGAAAATTGGCAATTCCAACCACCCAAAATTCCTTCATGAAACACATGGGAATATTTACAAGTTACTTTGGGAGGAGAGAAGAAACAAATTTGCTTCCAACTTTGATAATTCTGACTTCAGGGAAAAATGGCTGCCTGTCTCTTTCATACAGTAGGAAACCTCCCATTCTGATGGAGAAAGAAAAAAAAAGGAGAAAAAGAAAGAAATAGAAGAGTACAAGGGTGGAGGTCGGAAATAAAAGGCAGTGACAGAACCAGGAACAAAGTGTGGAGTAAGTCCCACTCCCTCCCGGGTAACAGTTATGCCATCCTCCCCCTCAAGCTTCAACCTCAAGGGTGATAACAGGGACTACACCAAGACTATTCTTCCTCAAATTGCTCTGTGGAACTGAAAGGAAATTTGTGCAATAAAACTGCATCAGAAGCTGCCAAGGGCTTTCAGTGCAGCTCAGGAGGAGGCCCTGGAAGGGGGCCTGGTGCCCCAGGGTGACCTCTCCATCTCCGACACTTTGATAAGACCATGTCACCATCACCAACAGCACTGATAACGCTACAATGCTACTGTAACATCATCTACTCCACTGAAAAGCAGAATATGCAGTATTCTTCCTACTTGCTCACTCAGGATGGTCCTGATACCACTCCAGTTCTCTCATCTACCCAGGCAGTACAGTGAAAAACCACACACCTTTGAGAACAGGTCTGTCTGGCTTCCTATTTCACATCAACACTGGGCCCTTAAAAGCTTCTTGTCACAGATCCATCTCCAGCGCTGCTCAGGGCAGGGGCTCAGGGGCTTTCTAAATTTTTAAATTTCTGAAAACCTAGAGGGTTTCCATACCAGCGTGCCCCTTGGGCACTGCACACATTCACGGGGCTATATGACATAACGGTCTTCAGCATCTTTAAAGGGTCCCACAGACCCCTCAACCTATGAAGATCTACAGATCAGACTGAAAAGTTATCAGTCCTAGAGCTGAAATGACCACACTGAGGAGGAGAGTTCAGGCCCAGAGGCTCTGATCAAGTTATGATGAGCCCCCTTCCTCCAGGGAACCTGCTTCTCTGCATCAGACATGATGCACATGCAGGATGAACAAGCGCCCTCTTGTTAGGGGCTCTTTCAGGCTTCATTCTGGGACCAATTCCCTTAAAACCAGCAATAAATTGAGGAATAATCACAGTCTTACCAACAAAGAGAGACCAAGATCTGATGCCAGGTGACCTCTTCAGGTGGAGGAGGAGGCTTGTGCGGTTTTCAACCAACATGTACATCTTCATACGGCGCTCCCCACAGCCCAGACTCAAAATCTGCCTGGACTAAGAAAAAGAAAATAAGAGAAGAACATACTTAAAGTTATTGCTGACTCCAGTTCTCTCCATTCCTAACTTTTGTCATGACTTAATCAAATCTTAATACAGGCTTCAAAACTGTCCAGCATAGGTGTCCTTCTTACAGGAAAGTTTAAAATAAAACACACAGGCCAAGCCACACCAAGTGATAGGTTTATGGTCTGCTCTGCCCCCAGGATCCTTACGCAGGTACCCTCTGCTACAGACTGCACCCAGCCCAGCCCCTGCTCCAGCAGGGACACCCAGTCCCATCCAGGTGGGCTGGGGAGATCTGCAGAGCAGGAGCCTCCGCAGCCGCCCTGGGCAGCCTGGGCCAGGGCTCGGGCACCCTCACACCAAAGAAGCTCTTCCCCACATGGAGATGGAGCTGCCTGGGGTTCAACTTGTCCCCACTGCCCTGGCACTGACCACCACTGAGAAGAGCTTGGCCCCTTCCTCCCTACATTCTCCCTTCAGGTATTTGTACATATTGACCAGATCCCATCTGGACCTTCTCTTCTCCAGGCTAAACAGACCTCGCACACTTTCCTCACAAGACAGATGCTCCACTTCCTTCATCATCTTGTTTTTCCACTTCTCTTGCTGATCTAGATGCTACATGACGCTCCGGAAGCCCTACACGCAGCTCCAGAATTTTTTCTTTTTCCATTTAACAGGTTTATCCCCAAGGTAATGTGAATCAAGAACAGACACAGCTCTGCCCTCGGGGCTCCTCAGCAGCACAAGGCGGAGGGGCCTGAGGATCAGGGCCGCGTGGGGGGACGGGGCCCCTCGGCAGCGACACCGGCCCCAGGAGCCCTTGGCCGGGCAGGAGCCCACGGGCACCGCTGCCAGCTTCCCTACGGACCCTGCAGCTCCTGTCACACGGACTTCCACAGGCACCTGCCAGGCCTGGGTAAACAAACAGAGCAGCAGCAGCTTCCCAGCGCACCCAGGGCAGGCCGCGCCGCCCGCGGAGGCGCCCGCTCCCCCGGCACGAGGTAGGGCGGCAGGGAAGGCGGCTCGGGGCTCTACGGGCAGCACCAGCAACCCGGGACGCTGCGCCCGGGGCAGAGGCGCCCGGGCGAGCACGGGGCGTCCCTTCGCGCCGGGGGCCGCTGCCGACCGGACCGGGCACGGGCCGCCCGTGCGGCGGCTCCGGCACCGCCCCTGGGCCCGGAGGGGCTCGAGACGCCCGGGGAAAGGGCGCAGAGCCGCCCCCGGCCCAGCGGAGCCGCCAGCGGAGCCGCCCCCGGCCCAGCGGAGCCGCCCCTCCGCCCCCGCGGCGCTACCTGCCCGCGCGGAGCCGCTTTGAATGGGCGGCCGGGCCGGGCAGCGCCTCTTCCGGGACCGCCGCCGCGCCGCGTCATCAGGGCGCGCCGCTAGGCGGGGGCGGCGGGCGCCAGCGGCCATTTCAGTGAGGGCAGGGGAGGGCCTGGCTGGTGTTTCCCTGTAGCCGCTCCGGGAGCCCGCGGGGCAGCCTCACCCAAGATGGCGGCTGTCCCGCGCGCCCCCCCCCCCCCCCGGCCGAGCGTCGATGGCGTGTGGGGTCATGTGGCNGGCCTGGCTGGTGTTTCCCTGTAGCCGCTCCGGGCCCCCCCGGAGTAGCCTCATTCAAGATGGCAGCCACCGGGCTGGGGGTCCTTCTGCCCTGGCCGAGCGTCGATGGCGTGTGGGGTCATGTGGCTTTAACGCTGCGGAAAGGGGCTGGAGAGCCCGTGCGGTGGCACAGGAGGGAGCCCGAGTGCTGCGGGGATAGGAGGGATGCGTGGGTGCCACTGGGCTCGTGTCCCCAAGAGCAACGTGACCACTGAGGCCTGGTGCGGCAGCAGGGCCGGGTGAGACCGTTGTGGGTTTGATGTTAATGTCACTGATGCCGTGACTCGGGGAATTGCTTATCACTCAAAGGCTTGGAATGGGCTCGGGAATCTCTTGTAGGGGAAGGAGAGTTTCTGGTACTGAATGGACTTTACTACTGGGGACAGTGACCACGTGTTAACAAATCCTACGTATTTCTCCAAGTTCAGTTAAACTCCCGAGAAAACAATTTCCGTTGAATTCATTGGGGTGTCTGCTTATGTAGCATTAGAGATAAAATGTAGAAGTGCAGATGCTTGTTGAATTCCCTTTATGTAAACCAAATAATTTTTTTTTTCCCTCCGAGACCCCAGATACTCAGGAGCGTGGGGCCCTTTGCAGGGCTGGAGGCTGCACAGCTGTGGCTGAACATCACTGTTGCTCTGCACTACCCGTTGAGGTTGTGTTAGCAGCCCAGTGTGACACATTTGAAGGTAGAGAGAGGTTCAGACCCCACGTTATGGAATTAACTGATGAACTGCAGAAAATACGAAGGGACCTGGAGTGGCCACGGTGCTGCCTGAAGGGCTATGAGGGGGGAGATGTTCGTGAGTCACGAGGCACCAGCTGCTGGGCAAGGCTGAGAAAATAGGAAGCAGGAACCTTGTTTTGTACTCAAATAAGCAGCTGACTTTCTGAGAAGGAATTAGTTTTCCTATGACCTTTGGTCAGTCAGGTTACTCTCATATTATATATATGTAAACAGTTTCTCTGGGAATCACATGCTTGAACTTCTTAGAATGACACAAGACAGAAAACGTTTCTTGCATCTAGAGCAGTAGTGAAACATAAGGCACTTTCCAGTGACCTCTGCTCAATACACAGCACATAAGAACAAAGCAACCCCCATTTGTCTGCTATGTTACTGTAAGCCAAGACTATTAACAACTATGAGCAGCTTCAGTTCTGCAAAGGCCACCACATGATACCCCATATGACTATAAATATGAAGTTAGAAATTATTTTCTGCAATAATCCCTGATTTTACTACATTACCTTGAAATAGATAACTCGTGTTATCCCTCACAATGCAAAGGGCAAGAAGAAACGTATTCTAAAAGTTTGAATGTGATCTTAAAGAACATCACAAATTCCAAAACAGCACAGAAACAAAAGGTATTTCTCAGAAGAAACATATAGGAAAAAAATCACTTGCTTATTTGTAAATTTCCCAATAATTAAAAAAAAAATATTGCAAGGCAATTAATTCAGCAGAACTAAAAGTTGTTAAGATGACTGGGTGACATTTCCAGTATGTCTCATTTTAAACAATAGGAAGGAATCACCAAAAAACGTGCTGTGACAGGGCGGAGGTGCCTTTAGGGTCCAGGTGTAAATGAGACCATCCCAGGGAGCTGTGAACAGCAGCCCACTGATCTCCCAGGGGACACTCTTTATAAAGCCTCTATAAAAGCCTCTACTCCTTGAATGGAGTTTGTTTTCTAGTGTGTTCCTAGGACTTACTGGTCAATTCTGACAGCATGGCCCATCACTGACTTGAGGAATTCAAAGCTTATAATCTTTGCAGGCTGAGACAAAATCTTTAAAGCTTTTTCAAATGGGTTACAGATTTTTTTTTTTCCATAGAGAAAGACTTAGTTTTCTATTTCATTCGTGATATGAACACTTTAGGTACAAGTATAGATGTTAAACAGAACAGTAGGGGTCATTAAGAAGGAGGAAAGGGAAAAAAAAAAAAAAAAGGCAAGACAACACTCTTAAGTGCTATAAATAGTGAATTTCTCCAGAAGCAGCTTTGCAATCCAGCACAGGTACCTACTGTTACTTCCCCCGGCGCAGATAAGATTGGATAAGACTGTTCCTGGCTTGTTAGGTGCTGTGGTGATTGCAACTGATAACAGAAGCTCTGTGGAAAAGTGTCATAAAGAGATAATGGTAAGTGGAAATTACACCTGGCAATCAAAAATTACTACTAATTATCTAATGATTACACAGGGAAAAATTTACTGCAGGCATTGCAAACATTCATTCCTTGCTTGCCTTACAGTCTATACAAGTTTTTTGCTCTTTTTGTTCTATTGAAATCTTAAATTGAAATTAATTCAGTGCATGCATTCCTAAACCAGAGGAGCAGATCAGTGCACTTAAGATATTTTCATATGGTTGAGTGTTCTGTACATGTTTCAGGCTTTACGTAGTTATATGTTTTGTACTGTGACTAATAAAAAGAGGAAAAATATTTTAAAATGTGCAGAGAGATAAAGCTTCCTTATTTTTCTCCATACATGGTGAAAGATGACTGTATCAGGTTTGGGTAATACATGTTACAAGTAAGCACAGTCACCTGAGGGTGAAGCAGGAGGCTGCCACGCTTTAAAGTGCCAACATCAACACTTTAATTTCAAACTTGTATTTTTGCCACCCCTATAAGCAACAACACAACAATGGCCTTTCTGCAAATATGAAGTAATTTGCAAGACTAAGGGAGCTTTTTAGCCTGAAAATACTCACCCAAAGGAACCGAAAGCACTGAATGCTTTCTCTCCCAAAGGAACTGAAAGCAGCCTAGTGCTGCATTCTAGTATTTTTATAAGTTTGTAGGAAACTCACAGTCTTAGGTTGTGTGGAGATTGCTTTAGAGTGACTGCATTGCCTTAAAAAAACATGTATTAATATACTAAGTGTGAATATGAAAGCGTTTTGAGTGAAGAAAGCAGAAGCACAAGGAATTGTGGCTACAACTATTGCAGTTTTTGCCTCAAGCGAGAATTAGAAATATTTTTTTCAGGGCATGTGTACGAGAGTATCACCATATATCTATATGAAAAACATGTATATGAAGAACAGTTTGCATTTCTTTCGTTTTGAGGATACCTGTGTGAAGGGTTCCCGTATCCTTGGCCTCAAGGGTGACTTCCCGCTATGGTCTGGGCACGTAAGACAAGCACGGTTATCTGCACCGTGTGCCGTGCCCTTATCCTGAGCGACACGACTGTAATGACACTGATAAACCCAACAGGCGTTTGCTGCTCCGGATTGCGTTGCCTGTCCCGGACAGTCGTGGCAAGCGGAGCGTTTGGCTGCCGTTACAACCGTCAGCAGCCGGGACTGCGTGTAGCTCTTGTACCGCGGTGTCCTTTATGTCCAAGGAGTATGTTTGCCTGCGGATTAAAGCGTTTAGACATAACCTGTAAAAGGGAGACATTTACCCGGTGCACTTGATAAAACAAAGTGGCATATTAAACTGGAAATGGCATGTGGGGTGTTCTTTTTCCTTAAAAAAAGCCATTTTGTAGTTGAGAAACTTCTCTGCAAAGTTGCTCAGGTGCTTCTTTGCAGCTCTTAGGGTGGAGAGTTAAGAGGGGGAGCAAAATGCAAAGCTTTGTGCTTCAGTAACTGTGTTTGGAGAGATGAGCGTTTGCACGTGAACACCTGAACGATGCTCTGGAGGCTGAGGGGTTTCAAAGTGCAGTTAATGATAGACGAACTCCTCGATGCCCGCGTGGTAACAGCCTCAGTGATGTTTGCTTTTCGTTACACAGCACATTAGCAAGATAAAAGAGCTGCTCCGATTTGGGTGTTCACTACCTCCAAAACCGTTATTGTAGGGGGAAAAAAAGAGGAAAAAATATCAGCAGAAAGAAAAGTGAGGTGTAGCTGTGCAGGAGTATAAAATAAAACAACAAAACGAAAGGAAATGCGGAAGATAAACTAACAAAGCGAAAGGCGGACAATGAAGTGACCAAGCGACGGGAACGGCGGACGCCGCCGGTGCCCCCGTGACGCGGCGGCCACGTGCGCGCGCCGCCGGGCTGCGCGCCGCGCT